TCGGTAACATCAGTGTTAGCGGACTGTTATAAATTCCTTTTTCCTCCTAGGCAACACTTATGAGAATTTTTCTATGATTAGTTGGCAGTGTAAGAGAAGATTTTGGCATAGCTTTTTTGATTATTCAATATCATGTTTTGGCATAGCCTGAAAGTGGACAGCTGTGGTATCTGGGCATTTTTTTTTCTAGTACACACCTTAAATGTAAAAGTAAATAAAAAAATCTTCTCAGTGGGCATACATGGCACAGTGAATATATTATTTATTTTTTCCTGGAAAGACCTATAGCCAGACATGTACTGCATTGTGTATATGGCAAATAATCTCACAAGATATTAATAAACTTTGAAATAGCATTTTTGGAAAATTGGTGGCAAGGAAATTGGTAGACATCTATGAGTGTGCATTATACATTTTGAACAAGAAAAATGTGGACATTTGTACCTGGCATAAATGTTCAACAAAGAGTAATCACAAAAAGAAAATAATTGGCAGTTCAAAGAATCACCTAATATATTAGATTTTTCCTTCAGCTACCAATGCCATTATTGTTATGGTGGTAACAATTTAGGTTATAAATCAACAAGTTCAACAAAGCAAACACCTTGATACTCACCAAGACTGACCGGCTGCAGCCATTGCTGCAGGCTCACTTTTCCAGTGGCAGACACTGACCCTCAACTGCTGGTGCGGCATCATCTCCTCAGAGGAGATGGTCAGACAGCTATCTGGTGTCAAGCTGAATTTTCATCATCCTTGTTGCAGTGCTTTATTCTAACTGAAACATACAGGCACTCTGGATACAGATTTACCATCTTTGAATGGAGTGCTCTTACCCACAGGACATCTGTACACTGATACAACCCCTATCTACAGGCTTCTGCCACAGAGCTCACCTATCTTGCCATGACCACAACCATCCACAAGCAATTGCCCTCCCTGTAAGAGTTGTGAATGACATTTTGAATGCTCATTTATAGCACCGTTGGGGTGGCAGCAAGTTGCAGGTTTTCTCAGAAGGCTGTCTATATACTCTGAAACTACACCAAATTTGTTTCAGCTCAGGACCATGATTCATAGATCCAAAAGTAAAGAGGATAAAACGTGTGTGACATCATTAACTCCTACAAATAGTGGCCCAATAGGAAAATTTGTGCTTTCTTATCACCCCTTGTTCTCCTTAAGGAAACACCATACATCTACGGAAGCCCTAGACTCCAAAAATACTGTTCAATCCCTTTGAGTTCTTCATTCTTGTTAATGAAAAGACAAAGAAGAATGTTAGTATATTAGCAAGGGTGACTTATTCTGAAGATCAAGGGAAGTTTTCTGGAACAACTCAGAGGGCATCTCAGAGTTACTGTGTCTGATGACTAACTTTAATGGCAAATACAAGCTCTCAGTCCTACAGGGCTGCGAATGCTCTAATTCTTTAAGAAATGAAAGTTCGTGTCACCCTACAAGAATCTTCAAATGAAAGTGGAATATTTTAGTCACACAGGAATTCAGAGGGTATATGTGAGGGATTAGGTCCTGAAAACCACCTCCCAGAAGCAAAATCCATGAATGTTCTAGTTTGTTATATCGAAAAACATAGGCTCTTCATGATCTTAGCATATATTCCCCTACGTATTAGATAATCTTTAAATTATATAATTAATATAATATAAATGCTCTATAGGTAGTCGCTAGACTGTTATTTAGTGAACCGTTCCAAAAAAAAGTGTGTGCATAATTAGCAATGAAACAATTTTTTTTCTTAAAAACTTTCTATGTATAGTTGGTTGAATTTTCAGATGTGGAACAATAGGGAATACAATTCATAGTGCTAGTCAGAATTATGATCTTGTTATCATGATTATTTGAATGATAGGCATAGCTTCAAGATTTACTTCTGGGTTAAAGGTGACAAATTGAACATGGCAGGGGTTGTTGTTGTTATTTGGTTTGCTTTGGTTTCTAGGTGTTCACAGTCAAGCCCAAGGCCTTGTACATGCTGTGTAAGTGTTGTATAGGACTGTTAGATCCCACACCCCATGGGATAGACGTCTAGCTCTAGGTTGCATATGTCATTTCACTGGACCGGTATTCTGACTAAACATTATTTCTGGATGTGTCTCTGGTGATATTTATGGAAGAGATTAACATTTACATCAGTAGGCTGAGTAGAGCAGATTGCCCTCCCCAATGTGGGTGGGCATCATCCAATCTGTTGAGTGACTGGATGGAATAAAGTAGTGGAGAAAGGAAAGCTCTGATCTTCTGGATGAATGTTTGAGCTGCCAGCTGACCTTCTGATGTACCTGGACTTGGACCTATACTACCAGCTCTGAGGCCTTAGGCTGCTCTGAAACTACAGTTCCATTCTTCAGTGGTCAGGCCTGCAAATTTAAACTAACTGAGTTCTGTTTCAGGCCTTCTGACTCACAGAGGAAATATACCACCACCTCCAGCATGCAAATACCAGACTGAGAATTCTAAGCCTCCCTAGTTCCATGAGCCAATGTCCTAAAATAAATCTCTTTGTGTGTGTGTGTGTTTTGTTGGTACTGTTTTTCTGGAAATGGCAGTCTATTGCAAGCTCCTCTAATAAGAGAAGAAACTGTGTTACATATAAAGAATGGAGAATTAAAAAGAAATGAGTTACCAAGTGTCCTACTTTATTTCTCTGTTGCTGTGATGAAATACTCACCAAAACCAGCTTAAGAGGTTTCATCTTAATTCTTCCACGTCATAGTCCAAATGGAAGGAAGATACAGCATGGACTCTAGACAGGATCTGAAGCAGAGGCCATGGAGGAATGCTGCTCCCCATGGCTGCTTTCTTATATAACTCAGGAACAGCTTCCCAGAGGTGCTTCCTCCCACAGTCACCTGACCCACCCTACACCATCATTAATTCAAATATTGCCCTCACTCATAAGCCTATGGCCCAACATGATGGAGGCCTTTCCTGATTTGCAGTTTCCTCTTTCCAGGTGACACTAGTTTGTGTCACAGTGACAAAAAGTCAAGCAGCAAATCAAGTCATGAAAAGATAGGTGACTTTCAGCGTGTATTACTGAATTAAAGAAGCTTCCTCTGAAAACAGAACTGACTGAACAAAGGATCTTCAGGCCACGAAATGGTTCTGTGTGGTAGCATGAAGGAACATACAGAGCACTATGCATCTTCAGACATGTGAATATGATGCATATATTTGAATATAGGATGCACAGTAGCTATGGCGGACTCTAGTGTGAACCATGGTCTTTACGTGATAATGGCCCTGAAGCACATGGGTTGTTCATAATGCCAGGGAACACGTGTGCACTCAAGTAAGAAGCCACAGTAACTCAGTGCCTTATGCCATAGAAAAAAAAAATTATTTTTATAATAATGTATGATAGGTTATCTGGAATTATGAATGATGGTGCCCCTATACTTTGAAAATATTAATGCAATGTTCAGATCACATATTCTGTCATTAGCCACATTCACGTGATAATGAAAGGGCAGAGTAAATGTTATAATAGTAATTCAACCATTTGGTTTTAGAAAACAATGAATATATATGTGTGTATTTATATATAAATATCAGCAAAAGAGGTTTAAGGAATGAGAGAGAATTTTATATATACACTAATCTCACTGAACCCATGATAAAGGATATTAATATATATCTATCATTTAATGATAGTTAAATGTTAGCAGTTTCATTTTGACAGTGAAAATTGAAAAATTTCAAGTGACATATTTTAATCAAATTCAGCTTAGAAGGATTTCGATATTTAAATTGATTCATAAGTCTAAATGTTTTCAAGCAGATTGTAAGTTCTCCAGAGTCTTTCTAAGACATGTTTACTGGAAGCCATCCTTAACTGGCTGATTATTTATTTATTTTCATATTTCATATATATGTGTATGTGCCATAGTACATATACAGAAGCCAGCGAACACTGAGTTCTAGGTCAGTACTCCTTCCACTGTATACGTCTGAGGCTTTAAACTCAGATCGTCAGTCTAGATAGCCAGGACTTTTACCCTCTGAGACATCTCACTGGTTCCCACTTGTGATTTATTTTAAAAATAAGATGAATATCTTGACTCTTCACTCATAATGACTTATTCCTGTTTTGTAAATAAAAATCGGTGATAATTGCTACTGATAGAAGTTTTCTCTGTATTACATGGCGTTCTTTTTCAAAGCAAGTCTTCCCTCTGAATAACATTGTTAATAACATGTAATTCCACTTGTAAAAACCCCTTTACTAAGCTCAACTTGTTAATAGTCTCTTAGTCATTACCACTGCACCGCTTTAGAGACAGAAAATCATGTGCTGATACATTATTTAAAAAAAAAGGTTAGATATTCTCACATTCTTTTCTGCCTCAATACTTTTTTTCTGCCTTTCCTTTTCTCTTCTACCTTTGATGGTGTTATAGAATTGTGTGTGGTAAATTTATTCACGTTGCTGCAAGTATGAGTGGAATGCCAGCTATGTAGACCATGTGTGGGAAGCAGAGATCCAAAGACAGAAGGCATGTTTTAAAGTAGCATATACACCAAGAGGTTCAGTAAATATTTAAAATGTAGGAAACTACTGTGAGGACAATTGTGGCAAAAAAAAAAATGTAAATGAACAGTTGTGCCTCTCTTAAAATATTTGCCCCCACAACAGTGGCAACTGAGAAATGTAAGTGAAATTTTAGTATTAATCATAAAATTGCCTATAAATATTGAGTGTCATGGTAATAAGTAATTCTACACTCTTTCATGAGAGAAATTTAAACAGGGGAAACAAGAAAACATAAAGAAATGGCAAACATTAGCTCTGTTTCTAAGATTTGAATGAAAATGAGAGCTTAAGTATTTCAAAAGAACTTCATTCCCAGCTTCTTTTGAATGTGAGAGTGTGGTGCTGTGGAGCCATGAAGCATAACAATAGCAAAGCCTGTTGAAATAGTAACACACAAAGAAAGGAGCCCAGAGAAGGAAATGAATAATTTAATCAGATAGGATTCAAGTTTATCCCCAGTTCATTTGCCTTTTATTCTTCATTTCAGTTAGTAACATGTCCATTGGTTTATCACCAAGGTTAGGCATGCACCTTGAGATGGTCACAAAAGGTACACGATACAGGGGTTTGTAATTAGGATATATAGTATATTCAGAATCCCAGGGGAACTAATAGTCTGGAAATATTGATTAAGCAAGATGAAAAACTCTTATACAGTTTTAACTATAGCAGTTTTAAAGACAAATGCACATTTCATTAGCCACAAAGCTCACCAAAAAAGGAATTAATTGAAGAATATCTCTTTTATGCAAAATAGACATTTTAGGATATAATTTGATAATATTCTACTATATACTGACATTTTCCTTGATCATTTAATAAAAAAATATTCTCATTGCCAGAATTTATATCTTTTTTTAATATTTATAATTGAGGTAACAAGGACAAAATACTTGAACTATGAATACTGTTGATGAATTTCTCTTAGATAGTAACAGCTTTCCAGAACTAAATAAAGACACGACTAAAAAACAGTCAGATTTATATGTAGACTCTAAAAGTTTACAACATAGTTGACAAGCTGATATATAAGGAGTTTGCAAGAAAGTGAGGCAATCAGTGTTTCTGGATCCAACACAAAATGTACAAATAAGAGATATGAAACACACCTATACTACATCGAATTTACTGCCTTCTGTCATTCACAGCAAAAACCACCGTGAGCCTGAGAGGAGCCATTCAGAGCCTTGTGGGCAATTATGTGAAGCTTCCCAGATGTTGCCCGAGAATGTGGCCTCCTGTGCTAGGAGACTGGTGAGAGGGGTTGACCCATGCGCACGTTGGTATTTACAGTTGTTTCATGGACACTGATCAGTTGACAAGCAGAAAGTTTCCACAGCAAGCACCATTTCAGTTCCCGCCACTGTTCCGTTATAAGCTGTAAACGCCTCGTGGAGATGGAGGACCTCTCTTCTGAGAGCAAACCGGTCACATCAGGCACATTCAGTAGCAGAGTTTCCAGTGCAGTCTTTGATATGGCTAAATCTCATTGTCCCTTTGCAGCAGTCAAAAATCCATGATAAATTCTGTACAACACTGCAGTCAATAACAGCAGCACCAGACAGCATATTAATTCCTTACCACAAATCTTTGAGTATTTATAGCATTCTATGAGTGGTGTTATCAAAAGAATCAAAGTATCTCTAAATCTTGGATATTTACGTCTGGGTAAAGCACTGTTGTACAAGATCTCTGACATGCATCTCATGCTCTAGGGCTTGGGAATGGAAACTAGCACATGTCTTTAGCCAATAACAAAAGTGACAAATGCCTTCCTATCAAAAATAAACAGGAAAATTAGGAATTCATCAACAATCTTAAGGACTAATGCATCAAAAGTTTTGTCTATGCTACAATTACATTATGGCATTTTTCTTCCCTCCTATACCCAAAATATCAGACACACTATTGCTATGGCATTTGGTAGGGGTGTGTAAACAGACTATCTTCTCTCCAGACTGCAAAAAAGCTCCCTAGGGGTGTTTGTTGGAATGTGGTGATAAAGGCTGGTTGCTAGGTAGTAGAAACCAACATTGCAGTAGGCAACCAAGTCCTATGGAGAAATTGCTGCTTTAGTCCTGCTCATCAAAAAAAAAAAAAAAAAAAAAAAAAAAAAAAAAAAAAAAAAAAAAAAAGAAAAAAGAAAGAAAGAAAAGTGGGAGGAGGTTCACAGTGCCTATTACTTTAGGTAGTCTACAGAGCATCATTAATTTTATATACAAAGCAGAAAGGCTGCTCCAAGTAGCAAAGAAGACAGGAGGCAGGAGGTAGGGAGATCAGTACTAAGTTTAAAGAGTCTATCAGGGCATATCTACCCTCTATAGAGACAGATGGCATACACAGTTAAGACAGGGCACTAAGGCAGACAGACGGAAACAACACACAGGACAAAGCACCTGATTAAACACTGCCTGAAAAATCTGATTAGTCCTTTGATGCAAATTTTAAGGCTAGTCGAAAAAACCACAACAACAAAAAAGCCTTCGGTGAACATCAGTGACCTTTGATGTTCACACAAATTAATAAATACAAATAAAGACGCAGAAAAAAAAACAGAGCTTCAGGTAATATTTGGCACTCTAAAGCTGAAAAATAATAACAAATTCTAGGATTTATAGGGAGGGAAATGGCTCTAGTACCAAGCAGCAATTCTTGGCTAAACAATGCAAGCTTGGCTAACAGTTACCTTTCTCTCATGTTTTGTGCCTTCCCCAAGTCATTAAGTAAGAGATCTGGCCTCGGCTTGCGTGTAACCAGTAATGACAACCTCTTTGCAGTTATCTGTGTGTACAAACAACCAAAAACATTCAGAACACCAATACAGCATTTTTTTTTTTAAGAAAAATAAGTCAATTGAGAAATTAAGGTATTTAAAACAAATATTTCTATCAAAGTAGAGGGGGGAAATACCGAGGGGAAAGGCGCCCCTCCCTGCCCCACAATTCAACATACAGAACAGGCGACCAGTGCTTTCATATTGTCAGGATGGTTTGAAGCGAGTACAAGTGTCCTGAGCCATCCGGTCCCAGGACTCTACAACATTGTATTCAGGTGATACAGACAAGATGGTCCATGCAAATGAGCTGACCAAAGTCATGTCGTTTTCGATCTAGATAGGATCCCAGATTTCTTCCGAATGGTTTGGAGTCACGAGAAATGAAGGTCCACGAGAAGTGAAGTGGTTGGCATTTAGAAGCACACTATTTAGGTATATCTCCCTGAAGGTATGGTTATGCTTCCATGTACTGGCCAATATCTGACACTATTGGTCATTGTATTGCAGAAGGAAATTGGGGCAATTCCTATATTGAGTAGTAGCGCTACTTTAGAACATCTTTAAAGCCAGGATAAGATGTTTTCGCTACTCAGTAGGATTTCTGACTTCAAATAATAACATCATGCAGGATCTATACTGTATTAATGGAGCCTGGGGAAACTCTATACTTAATTGTTTCCATTACAGGGTAAACAGTACTTGTATTGATAGAATTTAGCCGATTGATGCAGTTTGGTTTACAAGATAGATGGGATGGGAGATCGAGAGCGCCTCAGAGGACACGGAGAGTTGTAAGGGGATGTTACTGGAGAGAGTCTCAGAGCATTGCCTGCCAAGCCCGCTATGTTGTTTAAGCTTCGGGATTTTTCATATCCTTTTATGAAAAAATGCATAGACATCAGTTGAATTCACCAGAAAATAGACAGAGACAAACAATACTGTGCAGGGAAATCCAAAGTGCTATTTTTGCGCTAAAACGATTTGCAAAGAATTTAACATTGAGACAATTCATATATCTAAAATGTAAAACTCCCTTTATTTGTCATTCTGGAAAGATTAAACCAGCTATCACAAACTATACCTACAATATTTCAGAAATATTTATGTCTAGATTAGAGTTATTATTGATATAATCTGGGCATAGAGACTACAAATACTTTTTTTTTAAATAGGCAAAGAAAAAAAAAATCCCATTAATACAATTAAAGACTCAACACTCTTAAATTTCAGCATGTATTTCTGAAAATTAAAAAAATATATGAGCTATTTTTTAATTTCAGTATTATTAACTAATGAAACATGCTTAAATTGTAGTGCACACTTGTTTCCAAAATACTTATTTTTTTTCCTTTTGAGGTTTACTAGTTTAAAGGAGTGATTCATATAATAATGACATTTGGTGCCATTATCCAGGTGATAGAGGATGGAAAGCACATTACCAGCCCCATAGGAAATGAAATAAAATTACATAAAAGGGAAGCAAATGAAATGTAAACTGAGCCATAATTTCAGTGAAATAAATCTGAATTTCATGTAGGCAGATGACTTCATCTCTTTCCCTCACCCTCCAGGAATTGAGGCAAAATTTATTTTAATCCAAAATTTTCTACCTGATCTATTGTTGGCGATACCCATGTACATAGATAATAAAACAGCTTCTCAGGAACATTAGCTTGGTTGTTGTCCTTAATCACTCAGCCAGTATCCCTTCCTGTGACCTTTGGAGGGAGTCACATGTTGTAGCATTTTCAAGAGAATACTAGAGGCAGTTGAATGAGTTGAGGGGCTTCTCCTATAAAGTGTGGCATGAAGTGGAAAGACAGTTAGTTGAATGAAAGTGGACAGCTTTGGAAAAAATGTTCTGGTAGTTCCACGGAACAGTTACAGGGTGGGAAATGAACCTCCTGGAGGGCAACCAAGATTGAGTAAGTGCACACAGTTCCAATGAGCTTCTTGTCCTGTGTCTCCTCTAGACTGTGGAACACTCTCCGTGGGTTCTACTGTGCTCGCTGATTGCGGGACAAAGACAAAAGAAAGAGTCCTTTGTAACTGCCTCAACTTCTTTTTATTGGGACTGAAGCAATTTCTTTCTCTTCTTATCTGACACAGGGAAGGCCAGGACATATATGTATCAAGACAGACTCCATAACAACTTTGTAATCAGCTAAAACTGAATGAAACAGGACAGAAGAGTAATGGCCACTCCCTGTCCACATGCACACACACTCACTCACTTCTAAGTGATTTTGCAAATAGACATTTCACCATCCGTTAATTATAATAGCATTTGTGGGGATTATTCTATATTGAATAAACATTTACTTGCCTCTGTTCTGTTAGTATTCTTTATTATAAATCATGGGGCAGGGTGTGTTTTGATTCCACGCTGCTAGAAGATGTGAGAGTTAATAGGAGGATGCTGTCTTTTTTTTTTTAATTGCAAGTAATTTATTCTTAGAAATCACAATCATGGTAACTTTGTTCTTACTGCTCTTCTATAGGTGACTGAAAATATAACTTGGAAAATTATAGAGAAAGTGATTTTCCTATGCAGTTGACATTGATTATGTTACCTAAAAATATAAAGTATATTATAAACATCAATGAATGTTAATTGCTCCAGTGAACCTATCAAAAAGGAGTTTATACTCCAAGCTCCACAAATAACTTTCAGACATGTAATGATCTGTTAGATAATTTGATTTTAATCAATCAGTGCTAGATGAATCTTGATTGCTATTCTAAATGTTAATTGTTCTTCTAAATTATAGATTTTAAGAGAGTATTTCTTATTTTGTCTACAGGTCTTTTATTTTGAATATTAGTAATTTAATATAATTTGAAAAAATCTTTCATTTAGCAACAAGGATTTAACTAGTAAAATTATGTGTTCTTATATATTTTTAGTTTTTACCTATTTTACATATTGCTAATTAGAAATTTTGATACTTTTGTTGCTTAATCAAGTTTTTCTGAGAGTGACTGAAAACATTACTAAAGATTTAATACACAATCTAAGCTATTTATGAAAATAAACAAAGGTAAACCTATTTAGAGAACATCTGGAGAACTTGTGCTTTATTCGGGAGCATGTGCTTGTTTGGTCAATGTCAACACGACTGCACATGTACATGCATGAAGGCTCTACTTTGGCACTATGCTTTTCCAGAGCAGTTGCAAGGACACATAAAGGTTTCAAATCTTGGGAAATTACTCTTTAAATGAATCCTGCATTCCCTTAATGCATTATGGAATATTTTCATACTTATACGTAAAATGAGAAAAATAGGGATCCAGTAATATTTTAAGTTCATCCAGAGAGAATTTTTAGAACTTTGAAATAAAATTAATAGAAAAAAAATCAACTTAAAAATTGAATAGACCCTAAAGAAAGTAAATGTTTGGGTAAATAAGATAATTCTGTAACATGTATAAAGGAAAGAGGAAGGACAGTGGATTGTCTTCTTGTAGATGTGGCAATAGGAGACAAAAGCCAAAATGGCTATGTGTATCCAGAAACAGTACCCACATAGAAAGAACATACAGCCATGAAAAAAAGGAATATGACAGAGTTGGTGTGGTAAGGAATGGTGAAGCATAAAAAGCTCATATGAGCTAAAAGTTTACAAAAGTCTTCATTAATTTGCCTCTGTGAAGTAAAATTGCATGTACCTTTCCATGAAGAATATGTACCTTATTAATTGCCTTGTTCATAAAACTTTGCAATTTTATGGTAAAATTTTATATTGACATACTATCTTATAATGTCCAAAGCTTTCTCAGACATTTTTAACAGTTTAAAATAAAAAATATTATTTGACATGGAAGAAAATTTGTATCAAGATCTTTAAACATGTTACCTTTGTATTAACACTACATATAATACATTAGTGAAAGATGCATAAAAATGAATGTATACTTAATCATATATACAAATAAATGTGGGTACAAATACGTGTTTATAGATATGGAGACAAAGCTTATTATATAGATATATACTTAGAAAAGTATCCTGAACATAAGCTACTACTCTTAATATATAAACATATACTCTGCTCAAATACTATAAGATCTTAGCTATCCTCACAAAACATTTAAATTTTCTAGCACATATATAGATTTAAAATAGTAAACAACCCCATTAAGAGAACTGAAATACATTTTAGCTCAAGGAACACATGTAAATGATGGAACTGATTAGAATGAATAATTATTTGAAGTATTACTCAGCAAAAAACAATAAAAACAAGATGAAGATCCCTCTGTCTGCTTCCATGCTTCAAAGACATTGAAACAGAGGACAAATAAAATGTTCAAAAGAAATTAAAGAAAACTAGAATAAGAGTTATGAGACACTTTTTTAAAGAGGACATCACAAAACAAATGTTTTAAATTTAAAACATTAAAGAATTAGAAAAACCATTTTATATAACAAATATGGACATCAATTGTAGGATACAGTGAAGCAAAATATGAAAGTTTCTGTTCAGGTTTAGTCAATTATAGTATAAAAGTATTATAGATTTTCACATATCCTAACACCTTTTTTAATAAAGATACTGCCCAGTCATTTTTAATTTCTTCAACAAGTATTTATTATCTCCTACATGTTAGATACTGTTTAGTGTCTACTGAAAATATTAATGGATTTTAAATTATTTCATTGAGCCAAAAGAAAAACATTGTGTAATTTTAATCATGTATGTGACCTTTCAAGTGATTAAAAAAAAAATGCACACAGCAGAGCAGAGGTCCTTGCTCTTGGAGACCTTCAGGGAAACTGTTGGCATTAACTGCCAAGGCATCAGGAAAGCGGTTTAAAGGGTGTTTAGTTCTTTCATTTAAAAAGGAAAAATGCCTTATCGATCATTTAATGGCTATCAGTTACTTAACAAATACAGTGAGAGAGCCATGTAGTGAGTATTGTTTTAATAAAAAAAAATAGATAACTTTTAAAGACATCATGCTAAGATAACTAATGATTGGCTTAATGTTGGCTGATTTGATAATATTCTATTAAATAAATTATTATAATATTCTATTAATAGATTTACATATTCTATTAAAATGCTGCCCATAGACAAATGGTAAATGACAGGATTTTTAAAAAAAGATAAAAAATAAAGGGTGATGCTATATATATAACTATAAAGCAGGTTATCATGATGGATATTATAAAGTCCTTATAATGAGAGAAAACATAATGGAGAGAATAAAAGAGCACCTCATGCATGCTGGAAAATGATGAAATGAGCGTTTTCCATCACTAACTTAATGGCTAAATCACCTATGATTTGATTAAATTCGTGCCTACCTTTCCTGATTCCTCCATCAGAAGTGCACGTGTAATCACCTGTCGTCAACAGGAAACACGTTTCCCCTCTTCTGTTTTTGTCTCTGGTACTAGAGCGTCTGATGGGGAGCCTTTCTGGAGGTGATAATGGCGGCTCACTTCCTGTACTGTCGTCACCTGATAACACTGGTCACAGCACCATGCCCATTGACAGACAGTGATGGATGAGGGAATGAGACAGTACAGAGAGTTTACAACAGATGCCCAGAGTCCAGTCACTCAATATACAAAACACAGTCATCACATCACAGTATTCACAATAAAGAAAAATGGAAATGTGTTTTAAAAGGGAGAAATGAAACTCTCATTCAATTTTTGATCTACCTAATGGATAATTAGCTTTTACAAAGGTGATGTGAACTCAAAATAAATTAGATAATGAATTAGTGGAAATTTATTATGTAACTGTTTAATGTTATCCAGTTACTATGAGTGGAAATTGTAAAAAGAATGGTATCTTCAAAGAAAATCTCTGAAGCGGTACTGGTAGTACTACCAAAGAGACATGCTTTTTCCTACTTTTCTAAAACTCAATTTCCCACAAAAAAAAATCTTAATTAAAATAATCCAAAGCCACAAGAAGTACCATTCCAATTTGAAAACTCAAACTTATTTTGAGCAAAGCGTACAGCAAAATCTCCATGTTCCTGACAGTATTGCTTACTTAAAGCGTGTTTGGCAAGGGCTTTCAACATATCTCCATCAGCCTACACACTAGCTTGACCTTACAGTGTCGACCAGAGATGACTGTGTCCTCTTTGTCCAGGCCTTTCCTAAGGGTTCTGCATAAATATCCTGAGAAAAATGAGTAACAACCTGAGCTGAATCCCTCCTCTCAGACAGATACTCTTAACAGTTCTCAGGTAGGTGTTGATGGAATTTGCAGATGGATTCCCAAATGCATGCAAGGACTGAGAATGAAACTTTTTAACAGTAGTTCACCTCCAGTCACACTCCATTGAATTTTCTGTTTGCTTCGTAAATTTCTTCAGAAGCTAAGAGGGGAAACTTATTTCTAAATAGGACATGAGATCATCAGCAGTCTTTCTTTAATATATAAGAAATACAGCAGTATATCTAATATATGTGTAAATATATATACTTTAAATTTCAATGTAATCTATTGAAATAAATATTTTGCTAACCTAAAAAAATTATATCTGACTTGAACCTTGGAGACAAGCAAGAATTCCCTCTGTCTTGGCCTGGACACACTGACTTTCAGTTTAGAATCAAATGGCTTCAGGTTGCCCTAGCATACAGGAAGCAAGATTCCAGCAAATGTCAAGCAGTAAAATATTCAAAATTCCGTTTTTCAAAGGTACGGAGACCAAGGCACAATGCAATAAAAAAAAAAAATAAAAATGATTGCCTGAAGGAGATGCAATTTTGTCACTGGTTATTTGAGGCAGATTATCTGTGCCCTGAACAGCAGTGGGTGTTTCTTTTTTGCATTATATGTGACTTTGTGTTAGGTTGCAATACCTTATCTAATTTTAAAACAATGGCAACTTAGTCAATTCTCTAAAATGTTACTAATAATAAGGCTTCTTATTGAAAGAACTGTCTTCCACATCACCTCTTTAGGGCCTAGGCCTTTGACGTGCAAGCATCCATTCTCCTTAAATAACTGCTTCTCGTGAATTAGGTTGAGATGCAGAGTACCATGAGGCAGAGGTAAAACTGAGACAAACACACCAAGCCAAATGATATGGAGGTGAACATTTTGAGAATGAAGAATGGAAAATGGTCAAGATTGTACCGTCACAGCATGCGGAAAAACAAAGAAACATTGGCACAGAAGCAACAAATGGGCAAAAGAAAATATTGGCACCATCAGCAGAGGTCACTCCCGCCAATGTTAGAAAACCCCACAGACCTGCTCTGCAGACCGATATGTAGAAATGCTGCAGTCATGTTATCTACAGGCCTCACACAAACCACACTTTCATAAGGAGGTAAAACCGAAGACTCACATATATTTACAGAAAGCGAGAGCAGCTACCTTCTGCCTCTAGGAAACGCTGGTCTACAGGATATTTAATGGTACGCTTTTGAAATTGTGCCTTACCTGATCTGTTATGTTCCAGAAGCCGGTTTTCTTTGCCCAGACAGGTGTCACTCTGGGTGCTGTTGCAAGCCATATTTAATTCTGTCTTGCAAAAGGTAGGCGAGCTTGCCAGGGGGGCAGGAGGAATATGCTTCTTTCTTTTCCTCGGAAGCTTCTGCTTCGCCATCGCCAAGGAGTAGTACATTCCGAAATTGTTGACAATGACAGGCACGGGCATGGCTATGGTCAGCACTCCAGCCAGAGCACACAAGGCCCCCACCAACATCCCTGACCAGGTTTGGGGGTACATATCCCCATAGCCTAACGTAGTCATGGTCACCACGGCCCACCAGAAACCAATGGGGATGTTCTTGAACTGTGTGTGCTCGCTAGCTGAGGGGTCATTGGGCTGCGCACCAACTCTCTCCGCGTAGTAGATCATCGTAGCGAATATCAAAACTCCCAGAGCCAGGAAGATGATCAGCAGCAAAAACTCATTGGTACTCGCACGGAGAGTGTGTCCGAGCACCCTCAGACCTACGAAATGGCGGGTGAGCTTGAAGATTCGCAGGATCCTCACAAACCTAACCACCCTGAGAAAGCCGAGCACATCCTTAGCCGCTTTGGAAGACAGCCCGCTGAGTCCCACCTCTAAGTAGAAGGGGAGGATGGCCACGAAGTCAATGATGTTCAAGAGGTTTTTGACGAATTCAAGTTTATTGGGTGAAAACACAATACGGACTAAAAATTCGAAAGTAAACCACACCACACATACTCCTTCTACGTATGTCAAAGCAGGATCCGTTTCAATTTCGTACTGGAGAACAGCGCCTGTACCGTTGATGACTGGCTCTGTCTTGTTTTTAACAATATTGAAAGCTTCGTGTGTCTCCAGGCAAAAGGTTGTGATGGAAACCAAGATGAAGAATAAAGAAGCAAAGGCAATAAACTGCAGAAAGAAAGAAACAGAAATACAGAATGAACCGAACCATCACATATCTGAACCTGAAGGACACTGATCGTTACCAATCAAAAGGGATGCCAAGGTATTTGGGGATTTCACATCAGATGATTGTCAAGTGCAGGAGAGATGCGCTGGCCAAGATAAGCAGGCTGGAACCTGGAACATTCTCCAAACTCTGGGCTTTGCTCGCATACAGACAAAGCTCTGCCTTCAGGTTTTGTGAAAGAGGTAAAGAAAGCATAAAAATTATTTCAGAACAATTTTTAACGGCAAATGGTCTGAAAAGGAAAAAGGGAAACTTTTGACTATAGCTCCAATTTTGATAATTGCTTGTGACTAGAAATTTTAACTCGAAGCTTATAACTGCACATATGAGACAGATGACACTGGCAGAGACTTAGGAGCCACACAATGTAACTGCCAGCTACCACCTATCAGTAAAGTGTTTTCAGGTAGCATGAGATATGAACATGAAAAGAATATTTGCAATGTTCAATGACACCTGAAGGCAGAGACTGCCAGATAACCTAAATCTGGGAGGAGAGGGCAAACTCAAGCAACCATAATTAAAGAAGAGAAACCAAGTTAGAGAAAATATTAAAATACAATTATCTTCCTTTGCTTAAAAAATTTGAAGATCCTAGAGTAATAAGTTATAAAGCTATTTTTTCAAAATCGATGATTCCATTTCTTTATATGAAAACATTTGCACCTACCAATATAGGTAAACCTTAAGAATTTCCAGGTATATAGTTCTGGCTACACCCATACACTGTTGAATATATTTCATGTCAATCTGCATAATAAGACTAATACTCTCCCCACTTCACAACTCAGGAATATCAGGCTGGGAGCATTTATATTCCTTTTTTTCTAAGTCAGTTTTCCATATCTTTTATTTTTCTATTTTCTATTGTTTTTTTTTTTTTGAGACAATAACCTGACAATTTCAGTCACAGTTTCCATCTCCTTAAGTTATCAAATTCCAAAGGTAAGAATGTTGGAACCCCTTCCCTTAGACTGGGGTCTTACACGTCTTAATACTACAGGTCTGAGCATTTGAAATGCAGGTGTTCGGGTAAAGGGCGCTGCTGTCATTCATGGGAAGCTCTGCAGAGTGGCTGAGGCCTCTGGTATTCTCTTGTAATGTCTCAGAAGCCACACTTGAATGAGCAGGCTTCTCTTTCTCATAATATCAACGATGGAATCACCAGGAGAAAGAAACTGTAGTCAAGTAGGAGCCTCTTCGTTGGAAATAACAGGACTATAGCCAATTAACAAATGGGACCATTTCCAATGTTCAGCCTGTTCCCTGGCAGGAGCTTACAAGCATGGCTGCCACTGAGAAGATCTGAGCCACATCTCAAGAGAACCCGCTCCTCTTTTTAGTTCAATAAGCCTGTGAGGACATCGCAAAATGAGGAATTAGGACCGTGACTGTCTGCCTTAGAGAACCATCCAAATAAAGGGGCTAACCTAAGCGGTGTTGCACCTCTATCGTACAGCATTGGACAAGTGGCACCTTTATACCTCTGACCTGGTTGCTTGCAAGCACCCTTGGTTTTCCAGGAGCATTTGAGACACTAAATTTCTCCATTTCGCTTTTTCAATGAATGTAAAAATAAACACACAGCTATTCAGTCAGTTGTGGTCAGACTTAGTACACTACAACTAAAAGATGACATGCTGCAGTTGATTGAGAGCCGTATCCTTATTTTATCTGTGTATTTGAAAGCTATATTTGTTTCTGGTTAAATTTGAAACCCTTTGTCATTAAACCTTTGCATATAGGACCCTACTCTTCTTCCTACCCATGATCCCCATGAGGCTATTCTGTCTCCAGCATTTCAGATCAGGCAAAATATTTTAGTGTACAAAGTCGATGATCTAGCAGTTTAAGTTGCAGTCTGATGTTCTGCTCATAATGATTTCAGTAGTCAATCCATTGAGTTGACTCTGCAAACTAAAATGCCACCATCACAGGAGACATCCTAACACGTTCATCTTTCAGACAGTCTTATTGTGCCTGACACATCCAAAGGGGGTGGGGGAAAACAGTTCTCTAATGCCCATTGACATTTGCCAAAAAAAAAAAAAAAAAAAAACCAAACCAAAAAACTCTTGGAGCTTTTATAATTGAATATTTCTCTATTATACATCATTCATGCATGTATACAGCATATTAAATACTTCCCTTTGCGAGGCCTCAGGTCAAGCGCTTAATTTAATAGCAGTTAATGAAACATAATCCACTGAGGATGCAGACATAAAATTCATTTACCAGACAAATGATCTATAATTGTAGTTGTCATAACTTCAGTAAAGAAAACTACATGAGATTTTGAAAGGGAAAAAATCATGTGGACTGTGTTTGGGATGAAAGGTCAATGAGACCTTTGTCCACAGACTAAAATGAGGGGTGAGCAGAAGTCAACTGCATAGAAAGGAAAGAATTTTAAAATCATATATTAAGAAGCTTTAAAAGAGTCATTCTCTGGTTGCTTGTTCTGAGAAAGGTCCAGGCTGGACTTCAGTTCTCTTTGTCGGTGAGGATGACAGTGAACGCCAGGTTCTCCTGAGTCCACCCCCAAGTGCCGGGGGTACAGGCCTGCACCACCAAGACTGATTTTTGCAGTAGCAGAGATGAAACTAGAGGCTTTATGAATGATAGGCAAAAATTTTGCCCACTGAACTTTATCTCCAGCCAGCTGTTCTACATTTTGCTTTCTCAAGTGGTGGTTGGTTGTAACACCACCAAAGCAGGTTTTCTAGATCTGCTTATAAAGTGCATAGACTGTGATTGATATATGCCACCTAGCATACAGACTCTGCCTTTGTAGAGCTTAATTCATTTCTCGGAGGAAATGTTATCAAGTAGAAATATTGCCTGGGTTTTCAAATAAGGCTGCAAGGCTACTTTAGAGCAGTGATTCTCAATCTTCCTAACATTATGACCCTTTACTATAGTTCTTCATGTTGTGGTGACACCCAACCATAAAACTGTTTTTGCTGCTACTTCATAACTGTAATTGTGCTACCGTTATGAACTGTAATATAAATACCTGTGTCTTATGATCTTTGGAGACCCCTCTGAAAACAGTCTTTAACCTTCAAGAAGGTCAAAGCCCACAGGTTGAGAACTATAACTTTAGGCATTTCATTACTGATAACTCTACTTCGGGCTTGTTATTCCATATAATTTGCTTGAGTGTATCATACAAGTGTTAAAAGTCACCAAATAGACATGTTTCAGTAAGCTTTCAAAATGCTCATCTAGAATCCAATGTTTATTGACATTGAAGCAGTTGCATTTGAAAATAATTTAAGTTAGCCATCCTATTCCTAGAAGAGGGAGGAACAAAGGTTCATTGTTGTATAATGTTCTTGTGGAATGTGTATTCAAATGCTGATTTCTCTCCCCCACTATCTGGTTTCAATCTGGACATTGCATTAAAGCATCACCTGTCTCACATTTGTATAAACATGCCACCATTTGTTCTTTGTATTTTCAATAAAACAAACAGCCAATGCTGTGCAATGGAGAGTATAGGGTGGGACAACCTTGTCCAGAGGAGAAAAGAAAGAAGCAAGTGAGGGAGGGGGAGTCAGAGAGCAGAGATCTGCAGGAGAGAACCTAAAAATAAGAGGAGAGATGAACTGGGCCTAAGATATGACTAAAAGCAAGTATAATGTGGGAAAGCTGAATTGGAGGAAACTATGGGGGCTTGGAGGTTTAGGATAGAGTAGCTATTGCCCAGCATTGTGCTCTAGGTTAATTAAATAAATCCTAGTCTCTGTGTGGTGATTTTGGTATACAGCTGGCTTAGGAATAACCGCTACTTAACTAAAAGATAAATCGATAGTAAATATTAATATTCAATAGCAGTTCATTCAACAAAATACACCCTAAGAATATATAAAAGTATGAATCCCTTACTCTAAGCCACCAAGAGATATCAAATTTTCTTTTGCAGGGTGAGAAAAATCTGTATTTAACAAACTTCCTTGATAAGTAATATGCACATTAAAATCAAAAACCAATTTCTTACATTTTTCAGAAAATGAGCAAAAAAATTATCTAATGAACTGAGTGTTAAAATTATAAGCATTCATTCACAGTCTTAAATAAAATGTCCTAGAGGCTTACTAATAAACCTTTACCAGTTCTTTAAGCATGCCTAGCTGTTTACCTCTATTTTGATGTAATTCTGGTTTCTTCAAAAAATAGTTGTGAGCAAATAAACCTATAAATGCAAACAAGTTTAAGACCCAAAGCTTTGGAGACCAACAGCTGTTTGTGCAAACTGTTTGCTAAATGTAACTTTCAATATTTGTGAAACCATTATTTTAAGAACTACAGCAAGAGGACTGGAGAGCTGGATCAGTAGTTAAGAGAACTGGGTGCTCTTCTCGAAGACCTTGGTTCGATTCCTAGCACCTAGGTGTCAGTGTTTAATCATCTGTTAAGGGTCTGACACCCTCTCCTGGCTTCTGTGGACACTGCATGAAAGCGGTGCACAAGCTTACCTGCTTCCAAAACATCCATACACATGAAATGAATACAATTAAAAAAAAAAATTAAAGAACGAAAATAAGAACATGGAAACTGTTTTTGCCAAAAGCACTGAATCTTCACTTGGGCATCGGTAGATGCCCACTGAATAACTGAACATTAAGTGAAAGCTTGGCATCTCTGTCTTCACACTGCATTGTCTCTTTCCATGTGAGTCATTCCCTACAGTCACCTTGGGTCCAGCAGCAACGGATTTGGCCTATAAAAACCTTGTAATGAGTTGAAATTGCTTCCTAGGCTTTCTCTTCTTGGTTTTCTCTTCTCCTAATAAGACCACTCCAGCAATCCTGAGATGATAATGATCAGCCAGGTCACAGTTTGACCAAGACTTCTTGAATATACATCCTACTTGACCCCCTTTCCCTTGTTCCCTTTTATTTGTACACTTAAAGCTCATTAATAGCAACACAAG